AATATCTAGCTATATAGGGTATAAACTACCTACACTACAAAATTTGTGAGTATGCTAATAAAATACAAGAGGTTTATAATGTATTTATGTAGGTATATAAAATATAAAGATTGATAACATTATATTATTTTAAATACTTCACGCAAAACCTAAGGTGATACCCGGCTTATAGTATACCTATGCAAAAAGGCACTTATTAAACTTGGAGTAGTGAAACGAAGACGGACTTTGGACTGTTCGGTCTCTCGTATTTTATACATGGCGCTTTTAGGATTAAACTTATAAATGCTTCGACGTCACCCAGTTAACAGATTGTCCGGGGCAATAAATATTTAATTTAAGTCTTAAAGTAAATGTAAAATACTAAAATAGCAATAATATGAAAACAAACTTACGCGTAAACACCAACTCTTCCGGTGAAATCTAGTTAGAGTGCCGCCGTCGCCGAAAAAACGGCTATCTTCATCCATCATCATCTTGCTCAGAACTGAATCTTGAAAGTATCGAAATATTTAATGAAAATAATCTGACCATAACGAAATGTGTGAATTTGTGCTAACAAACTGTCCGTATATATTGATCGCTTATTATTTTTTTGTTCACTGAAATTATTAGAATTGTTAATCGTCGCCGACGAATGTCGACAATAATTGACGATAGCCATAGATATTATTATAAAATATATTATTTACTAAGATAAATCCATAGAACTTATATATTATACTCAGTACCTAATCGGTTTTTGTTAAATCGTACGTACTTTTACAGAAATTTTTGTGATCAGCAATGTACTTATTCTGGTTTTCTATTTCATTCATAGTTCGCATGCCAAATTTAACTATCCGAAACTTGTATAGACATTCTATTAAATTACAATGTGAATTATTATAAGTCTCCTTTTTGGTACTTACCAAAAACTCGACTACCGGGATTTAAATTTAAAAAAATGTGATTTAGGTAACCTATTGGCTATTGATCTATTATAAAATAGAAACTGAACCTACCAATAATATCACTATATAAAATAATTAAATGTGATAATTTGAAGACAATTTCTTAAAACCTCTAAAATATTTTTTTAATTTAGTGTTATAAATTTATAATCTAGTTAAGCGCTCAAGCAAATTTTTCAATTTTTTTTTTTCGGTAACCCATGTGTTGCGACCAGTTAAGATGTATATCTATGATGCAAAAATTAACTGCTGGAAATTATTAGTTTTTATGGTAAAGCTTTACGAAGTTCACGATTTTCGGTGTTTTAAGTGCTTGTAAAAATTTTGTTTTTTTAAAAAGAAAATCACCATCATTATTTATTTTTGAATAGGTACCTAAAATATAAAAAATATTATATTATACATAGACTTCAGGGCCCCGCATACATTGAATGTGTCCGGGGTCCCAAGAATCCTAATTGCGGCACTGGTAGGTACCATCTATTAACTATTAAGTAGATATTACATGTATTTTTACTGTTATTAATTATTATTATATTTTGTATTATTCGAAAGTAGAAAGTTACTAGTTATGAAAAATCGATTTTCTTTTATAAATAGTATAATGTTTATTATTATTTATATTTGTTTCTTAATAATTAATAAAAGAACTCTTTTATAGTGAAAATTGATCATCATATTACTTGACCAAGGAGAAACAAAGTACATTTATACGTATCTATATAATCGCACTCTATTGCGTGTTTAAATGTCACGTTTCTTATATAACATAATAGGTACTGTTTCATCTGGTATCCACTAGTAATACAACTAGTATTACAATAGTAATTATTATTTTTACTATGTACAATCTTCTAAAACCTAACCTCGTTTGGAAAATTGGAACTGTCAAACACTCAAACCGACGACGACGTTTGTGTGTCCACAACTCCGCCGCTACAAAATAAAACACAAAGTAATATAATATCAGTACTTAATAGTTTAGGTACCTAAGTACCTATATATTTATTCGACCTGCAGTGCATGAAGAATATACCTAACCACCAAAACATTCCGGACCCGGTTTATTAGAAAATTCATCGTAACTTTGTCAAAAGCTGAAAATGTATTTTTTTATTCTGTAAAATTAAACACGGTGGTATCTTGTATAAAATATAGTTAAGTACCTACCTATTATTTTATATCGTTCAAATTTCCTTATGCTTATGGTCGTATATTTATCAGTGTTTAACCAAAGCGTACATCAATAATATTCACATACCTAAATTATAAACGTCCGAGATGATTATTATTTCAATAGATCAATATATTATATAATTTAGTACGGACCTATAACCTATTGACTATTACATAGTAACTACGTACCAACGTAAGGACTTGTTGCTTGATGGTGTTAAATATTTTCGGAAGTGGCCCGCCTTAAATTTGGCACACTTAAAATAAATTGAAATGGTGTCCGTTAGTAAATAACATAATATAAGATTATCTTTGGACGAATAATTTATAAATATCATCCATAATATAATTAGGTATACAAATATATAGTACCATTAGTACCTGTTATATACAGATGTACTATATAGGTACCTACATATTCTATTAATTACTAATTATTACTATACAGACATATACCTGAATATTACTTTTAGTCATTACTAGTTTATATTCTAATACCATGGATGATTGTGCACTGTGCAGGAGGCAACAAGATTTTTTTCCTACTAAGTTTAGTACCTATGATTTTGTTATGCGATTGATAACTCATTATTAAACTATTCGATGGTCATTACTATACGACTTGTTCGATATTAATATATTATAATTTATAATGACGGCTTTTATTCTTAGTTATTTATTGCTCACTTCAAGTACCTATACAATATTCACAAATATTTGGCATCATCAACGTTAAAGCATCATAATATATAAATAAACGGACGACAGATTCACGATACCAGAAGAAACAAGCATTCAAGCCAGAGACACCCAAATTCAAATACATGCTCCAGTCATAACAACCCATTTTTATTTTAATAAAACTACAATTTAAAATAACCACAATGAAAAAAATCAATACATTCATCGTTTCACTCAGAATCTAAAAATCTTGGAGGTAGTAGGTACCTACCTACTGATATTTGATAAGTTAAAAAAGTGATTTTTTGCGTGTAACTTTGGTAGGACACCATTGATTTAGTGCGTAATAACTAATAATCAATACAAATTTTATTTAGTTAATTTGATACCATTTAATTAGTAGGTACTTCTTAAATTTTTAAGTTTTAATTTTATATCAACTAGAATTTACAAATTTCTCTTATTAAAATGTGTTTTTTTGTGGGTTGCTGATTTATGGGGTTTTTTACTTGTATTTGTATTTTCCATACACATTAATATGTTTATGGTATTTTCCGAAACTTTTTTCTAGGCCATATTTGTGAAATAATTATCAACACACCTATAATTATTATATTATAATTATAATTTATACCTAATACTATGAAATGTGTATGTACCAACAATCAACATTGGCACTAAGGAGCAAATGTTTAGGAAGTGCTAAAATGATTTAATTATTAAGGTTTTTTTTTAAACACCTATTACAAATTTGATGTGTAAACAGGAAGAAGACCCCAATTTTTTTGTATTAAGTGTAGGTTATAGTACATAGGTACAGCACACACGCTGGTAGTTTAAATTAAAATGTCCTATAGGCTATAATAGTTATATGCTATTATCTATTAAAATAAAAATAAATTATAATTTATAATTTTCAATTTTCAATGCAAAAATGATTGGTATTTTTGATTTTCAATCATTCAAAAAAAATCACAACATTATTTTTAACTAATTAATAAAATAAATATAAATTATTGAACTACCTATAAATTATGAAAAAAATTATGTATATGTATATTGTATAAACATATTAATCATTTTATTAAAGGTACGCAGTATTTCTCAACATATTATAATTTCAGATAACTATATGCCATGAAACGTATAGGTTGCATGGAAAATTAATTAATTTAATGGATCAATCTTGGGCCACTAAATCATGTTCAAGCGACCATTAGCACACTATTGATTCAATTCATGTTTAGTGATTGTTTATGCAATCCAGGACTATACCTAGTGTAATAAAATGATAATATCTAGAACATATTTTTAGATTCTGAGCGAAGGGAAAGAATGTATTGGTTTTACAAATATTTTTTTTCTTTTGTCTGTCAGCAATATTTTGGATAGTAAGGATGCTTTGATTTTTGAGATCAGCATCTTTTCTGATAGAAAGTGAACCTAGTTGGTAGTTTTGGGAGGTCAAAATTGAAAATTCCAAGTAGTTTTAGAAATCGTCGAGAAAAACTACCGACAAGTTATGAAAAACAGCTAAAAATAGGAGTTTAATTTCTAATGCTTTGCTTATCACCATAGCAACGAATAAAAAATAATAATAGTATTGGACTATGCTAACAGTTTAGAATCGTTATTCATTTACAATAGTTTATCATTGTATCATTGTACACAAATATAACACATCCATTACAACTACTGTACAGCAGAGCGGTACACACTTGTCCAACTTTTTTTCCATGGAGCTTAGGCTTTTATTCTTTACATAACACTCATGAATCATAATTAATAGTTCATAGACTCTGCAATACTTATGTTTCATTTATATTTAATAATTATTAATTGGCATTGTGTGCTTTCAGTGCAATAAATATGATAAAAAAATCAATTAAGGCGATATTGATGAGGTGCACTGTAGAAATGACAAATAAAATGTCCATCAAAAATTAAATTTGTTTACACAAATTATAAGCAGTGTTCTTCAGGAAATTTTTCAATATTTTGTCCTTGCCAATAAAGAAACATTATAAAATATACTATGAACTTTACAAAACCTGTGCACAAAACTAGTTTCACTTTATGCGATAATTATAAAAATAAATTTTTTTTTTACAATTATAATTGTGTGATAAGATTTTAATAAAACATAATAATTATTTTTGTCCAACAAAACACGGTTTTTAAACATACATCTTAAAAAGGTTTAAATTTTCTGCTCTGTTTTAGTAGTTCAATTTTTGATTTGTCATTATCAAACTTGTTGCGTAACTCCATCAGTTCTAAAATAATAATATTATATTAATTAAGAATGTACAAATTATTTTTATTACAAATTATATAGCATTTTATATACTTACGATTTATTTTAGTTTCTTTAATTTGGAATCGATAAAAGTTTTTCAGGGTTTTCTTTACTTTTTTCTTACTCTCGTTTTTCATTATGTTATTCTTAATAGCCTCCTTGCGTGCAAATCCAGGATTCCGTCCTCTAAAAATGTAGATGAAAATTTAACAAGTATAATATACAATTAATTAAGAATAATGAATATAGTTTATTACAAAAATATTATATTTAAATTTTGCATTTGTACATATTTTGTTTACAAAATTACAATAATAATTTTTCAAAAGATCACAAAAAAAATACTTTTTAGTAACAGTTTTCCACCCATCTTCGTCTTCATTGTCAACTGTTTCTTTTTCAGTTTGTATTCGTGCTGCTGATGTTTTGTCATATTTTGACATGTAAGTATCAATCTCCAATTGTAATTCTTTTTCATCAACAATATTGTCATTATAATTCTCACACCATCCTAAAAATAAAAAAACAATTGATCAACTAAACTTTAAAATGTTACAATTTATATTTGCTTTCTTACGGTTAACTATATTTGTGATCGGAGCAGATTGTGTGGACAAAATGAAAGGTTCACTTTCAGTGCATTTCAGTGACATTGCATTTTCCAAACCAGATGTGTGTGCAAACACGACATAAGCCACTTTGAAGCCCTGAAATCATTATCGCTGTGAATAAATAATTTATGCATATAATATACTTTAATATGCTCATACTTTAATTGATTTCGGAATGAAATATTTAGAAGGCAATATTTCTGGTTCAATTGGAGTTGGTTCATTGTGAAAGTATACTGATTTTACTTTACCACAGCGGCGAAATGCATGTTTCATAGTTTTCTGAAATTATACAATTTAAATATGTTAAATAGTTGTTTTTAAATAAATAAAATAGAATTTTTTGATGATTCAACTATACATCTAATATTAAAGCATAACTATAACAAACTAATCAAATTGTTTAAAATGTTAAAATCAGTGCCAGGGGAGCCATTTGGGTGGGGGCTGGGTACGCACTGCACACCCTGAAATTATTTTATCTACTTAAAAACGTTTTTACCATACTGTAAAAATAAATTAATTTCAAATTTATAATTACTTGATTGCAAAATTCAGGAACACCGACCACAAACAGTGTCTGATATTCTGGTTTTTGTGCACATTTGTCCCTGGTTATATGCATTTTCAAAAATAAATGACGAATAGCTTTGGAATTTTCATTGACTTTCACCGGGAGAACTGTGAAAATACAAGAAATAAACTTAGATAGATACTAAATAATAAGAGTTATGGCTTTAAAATTCTTAAAATTAATTATATTCAAATACCATAAATTAAGTACCTATACTATGATAATAATTATTACTATAATTATTATTTTTACTATAATTTATAGTAGATATTTGCTATATTATAATATTATTATGCTTAGTGCTTACTATTATAGAAATAAAGTAAATAGTAACAATAGTAAAATACTAAAATGTGCACCAAATAACTCATGCACTTATTGCAACATTATTAACCTACCTTTAAATCCAACACATTCTTCCATTGTCAAAAACAAAACAAAATTATTTATGTCGTTAACAATTTACAAGTTATAATTTATATTAGTATTAACTATTAAGATTGACATTAATTAACACATGTCAATAATGAAGTGTTCGTAATAATTCGGAAACAATATTTTCAATTTGTTATCACCTCACAAATCACGGACATACAGAATATTATCAGCTATACGGCCGTGTTATCACATGTCATAAATCATGGCCGTACAGTGCGTGCGAGCGATGAGTGCTCGAAACGTGAATCGTACGCACTGCAACTGAATTTGTTTTTGCGCGCGCGCACTTATTAATTATTTTGAGGCAGCGCATGGCGACGGAATATAAATATTATAGAATATAATATTCTACATTTAAACCTATCCGTACCCGTACTCCGTATCCACTGTCGTCACCGACGCAAGTCACAACCACCACATCATTCTATAATTAAATGTTATTTTATTTGATTAAAATCTTCATCGTGATAATTATCAGCCGCAAGGACTCAATAGGTGCTCGAAAATGACTTTGTTATGCGCTAATAGAAATTGTCTAGAATTCAAGAGGAAAATCAAAAATTAAATTATCGTATAGAATATGACATGGACTAGAGCAAGTAATGATTAACATACTATTACTATAAACAATAATATTTTAAGTAAAAATGTTCACCGGCCATTATATTACATACCTACTTGGCTATGCATAGGTATAGGAGCAGTGGCGGATACTAGGGGGGCCGAAGGGGCGTTTGACTCCCCCCCCCATGGGTTGTCTTTTTAATGTTATTTTCTATTATAATATTTGACTAAACAAAAAGACAATATAATTTTTGTAAATTCACCCCTCCCCCTTGGATGACTTCTGGATCCGCTACTGTATGGGAGTTTAAGTTGAGGGGGCATGAAGGGGGATTAGGTCACCCTACCTCTGATTAGCGTCCCCTTTAACTAATTCTTCAAATAGTACGCTGTAGGTACGCTGTGGCATTGAAGACATCAAAATAACTTCTCCGTTAAAATTAATTAATTATTTTCGAAAATTTATCATTTTATATTTTTTAGTAGATACCTAGATATTTACAAATATATTTTTTTTATTTTGTTTAATTTTGTTAATTTTTATTATTTAAACGTTAAAAAAAACTATTTATTTGCAATGTAGTTCTTATTACTAACAGAAATATAATATGTTTGTTCCTTTTGATATTATTATGTTATACTTAATTTTGTAAATATCTAATTTTATATAACTATATAAGTGTTAAAAAACTATATTGTGAAATATTTATATAGACTTCTTGAAGTCCTAAGAAGAAAGAAAAATATAATTTATGTGCCTAACTATATTTGTACCTACTTAATATATAGCCACTATGATTTATTATTTTGATATAATATGGATATTATTGCTACCTATTAACAAAAGCAACCTCCGCCCTCCGGCTCCCCCATGGACACTTTATAAATATAATAAACTATTGGGAACAAATCTAGTTCAGTGCCCAAGTGAATTTTTCAATTTTTTTTCCGGAAACCTATGTATTACAACAAGTTTATAAAAACGATATTGCAAAAATGGATTGCCGCTGCAATCATTAGTTTTAGCCTTACAAAGTTCACGATTTTCGGTGTTTTATAGGCATTCGTACAACCCAATATTTTACCCAGCGTTTGAAACTTTTGTGTTTTACTGAACAACCTTTTTTTTCAGTTTTTTTGTCTTAACATACGCTTACATATGTAGTTAAACATGCTGAAAACTATGGGGGAGTCTGAATTTGGCGGTGAGACTTCTTATTTTAAATTTATAGCTAATTTAAATTTTTGGTATTGTCATTATTATACACCCGGCGTGGTCACTCGTTCGCTGCTCTCTCTCGGACAATATTGAAATCGAAAAATCCCTCGACCCTCGACTTGTTATATGTAAAATCACCACGGGCGTGTATCAAAATTATTTTTGAGCCATAATTTTTAAAACGTTGATTTACATAGGTTTCAAAAAAAAATGTTTATCCTTTATATAAGCGCAGTTAACTATAAGCGTTGTTTTTTTCTGACTCTAGAAAACGGTTGGGAAATTTTTACTCTTGACTCTCCAAAGCACCAACTATATTCACTTTCCTACCAGAAAAAATGGTGGAGTAAAAAATTTAAGCATTTTTACTGCACCAAAATGTGATTTAAAGACACAATAAAAAAAACACACATTATTGTAAAATCAATACAATCATCATAATATGCAGTTGTAGTAGTACCCACTTGCCCAACAATTTTTTTTACTTACAAAGTTATACGTTTCACGTATTTCGTATTAACGATAATCAATTAAAAAAAAAATCTAAAAAGAGATTTTTTAATTATCAATTTTATGTTGCTATATAGGTATAGGTAACTTATTCTTCTATTAGTTTTATGGTATATGCTCAGGTAAATTAATAAATAATATCAAATATTGTAGTAATTTCATTATTATATTATTTAAAATAATATTAGGTATAGTTGCATGTATAAATCAAAAATTTGTAGATTTTGAACTTTGTGTGTATATAAAAAAAATGTGTGCATGTGTATATTGGATAACTTTAGGTTGTTGTAACCTTGTATTAAATTGTCAAGCTTTTCCTCAGAAACAAACATTTTATTGCATAAAAAATGAAAATGAAACCAAACAATCATGTCTTCATTCAGAAATAATTTTCCAAGTTAAAGCTTGAATCATTTTCACTGTTTCAAAAAGTGAAAGCACACATAAATACAATCACATGTCACTGTGAAATTAATACATTAATTGCATCTCTCAAAATCTAAATAAGTGACACATTTCTTAACACTTTAACAAACGTTTCAATTCAGTACCTTAAAGGCTTAAATTTCTTTTTTTGAAAAAAGGATCCCTCTGGACGGTACTGATAGTAAAATTTGTGGGTGGTGTAACGGAAATTTTCTCATTGGATTGGCAAAAAAGTTCGCATCATTACTTTGTGGTAGGCGAAAGAGTAGTTCTGGGAGAATCACACACAAGTTAGACACGGATTAAGATTCTGCATTCTCGCCGAAAACCACTTTTGCCTCTGTTTATATAAATTATAAGCTATATGGTGGTATATCATATAGGGAGCCAGGTAGGTACAATAATGTATACAGTATATATATACAATAAATATAAATTTAAAATTAATATACCAAAAACCATAAACAAGGCATACATTGATTTTGATAATTTGATGCCACTCATTATAGCTAGGTATCAATAAGTAATATTTTTGGCAGTGGTGTAATTTCAATAAAAATATAAGTTTATTTGTTCAGTTGGTCCACAAATGGCATAAATTGAGTGGATGTTAATTTAAAAACTGGCGGAAATCATCAAAACAAAAATTAAGCCTATATGATTTTGGGAGTTGCCAATTCGTCACAACACTCACAAGTCCCGTGTTCACGTCCTTTCACAGTACATAGAAGACAGGAAATATAAATATGGAATAGGTAAACAAAACAACGCTACAAGACAAAACTAATTACCTGCATTCTAAAGAGGACTGATATGATTCATGATATAATATTAAAATATATTACGAGTTTAATATGCAGTTAAACGATGACTATCCTACTATAGTCTATAAGTCTATATTACAGTCTACGAGTATCAATAAATAAATCAAACATTAAATTAATATTATGCGTTTACTATACTTAATATTATATTGTATTATATTAAATCAGTGGCGTAATTTGGTCTTGTTTGTGGGGTGGGGGATTGAAATATTTACCCCATCCCAACCACCCAAAAAAAAAATAATAATTTGGTTTATATCATAAATACCTCTCAGTCCAACCATTGCATGTGATCTTTATAATGTAAGTAGGCAAATGTATAAATGCATTCATACATTAAAATATATAATTACGTACTATTTAATAAAGTTTTAAAATGTACTTTTTCGAGTAGATTCATGGAATAGAAGTAAAATACTCAAAATTGAAAACTTCAAACTTCAAAAGGTTATAAGTTATAACCTTAGAACTATTTCCGGCCGATAAATTTTGATTACAACATTGTGCTTAACTCATTGAAATATACCTATAGAATCTAGGAAAAAAATCCCAAAAATCGAGGTAAACTGCATTATATCAATATATTTGTGCAATATTGCAAAAGTGATTATTGTTTATTACCAATGTTGTTTCTATAAAATATACTATATCAGTAGGTACCTACAATAGTAGGTACCTTTAAATAATAATATTTTTATAATTAAATAAGTAGGTACTGATTCGCCAGTTTAAAAAAAAGTAATTGGGCGGGGGATACGACACCCAAATCCCCCACCCCCGTAATTACGCTACTGTATTAAATACCTATACATTTAATTACTCAATGTACCTACAATATTCAGTTAATACTTTAATAGATATGGTTTACATATGCAACCAAAAACTGACCAATACCATTTTTGGCAAGATAATTCCTATTTCGTCCACTATATTTGCAGCTTCCAAAATCCCAAGCCACCAGGGATATTTGAAACGCACCACAATTAATATTATTATAAGAAAATTATTAAATCCCGTCTGGTATTATGCGGTGTATATTATATGACGAGTTAAATATAATATATAAAATATATTATTATTATAGACTCAAAGATACAATTTTTAGCGGACGAATCTAAAAATAGACGCTGCGGCGGCGGTGTCTGGTGCCACGTGTAGATGGCGAATGAGCGTTATCGACCAACCGGTGGTAGTGCAAAGGGTGCATCGAGTTATTGTTACTCTATGGAAATTGGAAGGGTGGTGTTGGGAGTTTCGGCGTGCATATAGTCAGAGGTGGGCCTCAACCAGTCAACCAATACAACCAGGCAATTGCATGAACGTGGCCGCAGAGTCCGCGGGCCTGACAAACGTATTTCTATATTCAGCCACCGAATCTCCCAAAAGCCATCTTACTATAATTTTTCCCACGAGGCAGCGGCCAAACGTGCCCTGCGCGCGCTATACAACTACCGGCATCCGGCGTAGTGCTGTTGGTGCTACGCGTTCGGCTGCTGTGCTCGCTCGCGGGGTCCTAGACGCCCTCCACTTTGTTCCACGCGACCCTCCAGCGACCGTGTTCGGTTTACTCACGAGTTTAGAATAGTTTTTTTTTTACTTGCTATCTATTACTATCACACTTCTACCGACTGAAAATTGCAATTATAATTATTACATTTTTTCATAACGCAAACCAATACCGGTGTATGATCATAACTCTTAAGTGATAACCAAAACACGTCGTGTACCCTGCGACTCGGACTTCTATGATCATTAGGCGATGTAAGCGATTCAATTTCGAAAGTTTTTTATAGTTGTAAAAATGTAATTTCGCGCTAGACCCCCCCCCCCCATTGGGAACGAAAAAATATTCCTGACAAAGAGCGCTCAAAAATGATATCTTCGGCACCGAGCGCACCGGCGTCCACACTCTACGACACACCGACTAGTCAGTGTGTATATTATGTATGTGTTTAGAGGATCGTGACGGGTGTCATGTTCGCGCGTTAGTTTTACGAAGGTTGCGAGTGTCGGTGTGGGGCCACAAACCGTGTGTGAACGAGCGAGAAAGTGTGCGGCAAGACTAGAGCGAGAGAGAGAGCGCAAGCGCCGCCGCCACCGTCAACACTACCACCACCAACAACACTACTACTACTACTACTCATACTACTCATACTACTAGTACTACTAGTACTACTACTACTACTACTACTACTACTACTGCCACCAGCGGCGGCGGCAAAGGTATAGAAGGCAGAAGCACAAGTAGTAGCGAGCGGCGGCGGTAGTGTGTTTTTCGCGTGAATGTATGCGCGCGCTTGTGTTAGTTGTGTGAGTGTGAGTGTGAGAGTGTGCGAGCAAGAGCAGCAGCGTACCACCGAGTGTGAGTGTGGGTGTGTGTGTGCATGTGGGTGGGTGTGTGTATGTGTGTGTGAGTGCGAACGGTGATATATAGATAACAGCACCGCGCGCGCGTTTTTGGGCACTACGCGCCACCTCACCACCCGTTCACCGTTCACGCGCACCGTGTGCCACCAACCGCTACCACCCCCACCCCCATCAGTACTGTCAAACACACACACACACACTCTCCTCGGCCCGTGTGTATCGTCCGCCACCACCACTGCCCGCCACCGCAGCCGCCGCGTATAGTGGTGTCGTCGTCGTCGCCGCCGCCGCCGCTGCCGCCGCCGCAGCCGCCGTCGTCGTCGTTGTCACCGCCGCCGCCGCCGCCGCCGTCGTCGTCGTCGTCGTCGTCGTCGTCGTCGCCGTCGTCGCCCCGTCGTTATTGTTTTCGTGGTGGTGCGAACGAGTAACAACAATAACAATAAAACCGGTGTCGCCTCTAAACGAGCCGTAGCCTAGTGCTGGCCTCCGCCCCGCCGTCGCCGCCGCCGCCGCAGCAGCAGCCGCAGCCGCCCTCCCGCCGGAAAGCCACAAAAATAGGCTGGCCTAATGTTATGGGGTGTTTTGGAAGCGCCGCGGCCAAGACGGACCACGACGATGCGAAAAAGGGCAAGGAGACGAACAAAAAGATAAACCAGCAGCTGCAAAAGGACAAACAGGTGTACAGGGCCACACACAGATTACTGTTGTTGGGTGAGTGAGGGTATTTTTTTTAAAATTTTAAAAATTTTCCCGTCTTTACATTTCACTTTTGTTGGTCGTACGCCACTCGTCCGGCTTGTCGCTGCGCTTCCTCCCCTCTTGTATTCGTCAACCAATAACCACCCTTCAATTTTGGTTTTCGGTGGGTACTTGCCAAGTACAGAAGTTTTGCTGGATTTGGACTTTGCCAAATTTTGGAGGAATCGTCTAGTGACTAATGGCTATTGGACTCTGCACAGTGCGATTGCTACTAGTGCCTCCTAAAATACTCAACATGATCGACTTATAAGTCTTAAAATATCAGCGATTTCTGTGTTTGCCTCTTTGGTCTTCTGCATTGATCTTTATCCCTGTAACACCTTACCGCTTACACTAATGTAGTAATGTAAATGTAAATGCATTATCATTCTTGCTTGTTGATAATTGATATTGAGTAGTCTTTAAGTCAGTCTCTAGAGCTCTGTTTTGTGTCTTACAAATTTCAAATTTTCTGTGATATAATTATCATGTTATATATGTTTTTGCAGTGATGTTTATTTATGAGTTTATAACATAGAATTTTGTATTTTGAGTTTAAATTGAGAATGTTTAGTACTTAAAAAATCTTCCTGAAAGAGTAGGTCTTGACTAGGTCATAGATATCAGTGGTTCATCTAACTTCATAATGATTTTAATGTGCATTTATTTTTGTCATATATATGATAATGTGATCAATATTTTTATTTTGAATACTCAATTCAAACTGGGTAATTGTACCCATTTATTTAGATTTTTGAGTATTTGATTAGCTAGGTATACTCTTAAATCATTGGTGTCCTTGAAAGTAGTTAAAACTGAAAGATATAGTTATTGATAGTAATCTCAACTTGTCATGATACTCATATATACCTAAAACAAGTATCAATCATCAGTTTTGTTTTATTTTCTATTTTTCTACTATATAATATTATATAAATGTATAGATATTTTTTTTTACCCGATTACAATATTTACATGTGACAGACGACAGTATAACTATGTTAATAAACTAAACATGATAGTGTATAATATAATCGATTAAAAATATAAACTTGAATACATGCCAAATGTTGTGTCTTGGTTAGTTTTAAATTTATATTTTTCTCATAACATCTACCAGAAAAATACACAATTCTATGCACATTTATATAAAAATGTTCTAAGCGTAACATTACATTTATTTTGATGTCTTTACATTTTTTTTTTTTTTACATCAAACATTCTCTCAAAATGTGTATGTTGGCGCTATTAACAGATTGTCTTGTTATACATCAATATTTATTCATATGAATGTGCTTTTTTTTTTCTAAAAAATATGTATACCTAGCATACCTATCTAGGTGATGTAGGTACCCAAAATGAGTTTAGGTATGGTTAACAATAACATAAGTTTTAATGAATTAAAGAAAGACTAATGCTCAGAATAGTTAAACAGATTGTTCAAATAAATACAATTCCTTTCAAAACTTTAACACTGATTCCTAATTGACGAAAGTATTATTGTCACGTCCGACAATAATGAGAATATTTTGTTTTCAAGAATATTCTATTATTTCAGTAGTATCCATAGTAGTTGAAAAATGGTAAAATATAAAATACTGAAATAATAAATTAAGATAGTTGAATGAAACAATGGTATTTGCCGTTTGGTACTCAAACCATGTATTAACAGAATTTATTATCAATGAATATCCTTGGGGAACCACCAAGATAAATTGTTTTATAGGTATTAATTAGACAAATAAAATTTTATATTATAATTACTATCTAAATGTAGGTAGTATAGGGTACATACAGAAATTAAAAAATGTGTCAAATGTTCTTTATTTTTGTAGGAGCTGGAGAATCTGGTAAAAGCACAATTGTTAAACAAATGCGAATATTGCACGTAAATGGATTTAGTGAAGAGTATGTATAATAATGTTACTTTTTGAATTTCAAATTAATATAAATCAATTTTATAGAGAAAAAAAACAAAAAATTGAAGATATTAAAAAAAACATTAGAGATGCCATATTGGTAAGTTTTTCTTATAGTTTAATAGTTTTGTTATTAAAATAGTATTCTAAGTATATTTTGTTTTACAGACAATTACAGGTGCCATGAGCACACTCACCCCACCAGTACAATTAGAACACCCAGAAAATCAGTTTAGGGTCGATTATATGCAAGATGTCGCCTCCCAACATAACTTTGAATATACAACGGTCAGTAAAAGTTCTAATAATTCTTGGTAAACAACTTATATTATCATTATTGTTTTTAAATACTGTTTTATTATAGGAGTTTTATGAACACACAGAAATACTGTGGAAAGATAGAGGTGTACAGTCTTGTTTTGACAGATCTAATGAATATCAACTCATTGACTGTGCTAAATAGTAAGTATTTTTCTTAAATATTTTCAAAATGTAAACTTAGCATACCTATTTTATGAACTAAACAAAACTGCATATGTAATAAAACAAAGACTCATATATTTATGCTCAGCGTTTGTTTAACATAGTACAAATCATAGTGGTGTCTTTTTAGTTAAAAGAAGTAATATTTAAATCTTAAACTTTCTGTTTGGTCATTTTTTTTTTGTTTAGTTGTGAGACAGTTGACACTTACAAAATTATTTGTTTTACATTCTCAATATATAATCATTTTTAGGTACTATGAAAGGTAGTGTTTAGGTTCATGAAAGTGTAATGTATTTTTTTTTCAAATATAAATCTATGTTAAACATGTTTTTTCTCTTTGATTATGATTTCTTGATTATTAGTTATTACTTATTATACAACTTAAAATGTATTATTTCCTATCTTACCTAATACAATGTTATAAACTATATTTAAATAATTATGGACTTGTGTTTTGTACGAGACATTTAGTTTATATTAAATGGGTTTTAGAAAAATCTTACATTAAGAATGTATTATAGACTAATTAAATATTCAATTTAAATTACAATCATAATAAATAACCTTTCTTTGTATAGTTAATAAATATATTGATTTTTGTTTCAGTTTTCTCGATCAAGTACACATTATCAAGCAACTAAATTATACCCCTTCGGAACAAGTAATTGAATATAATATTCTTACTTAATTATCTTTCTATATTTATGTGTTTCGTTACATAGATTTTTTTAAATATTAATTTGTGGTTAATTAATAGCATTGATAAAGTATAATCTACCAGGTAATTTGTCTAGTTTAAAATGTGACTTACCGATCGTAATCTTATCATGTATTTACAGGCCTAATAGTAGGTAGTGAAAGCAATTGTGTTAAATAGAACAGTTTATATATTTTAATATTATGTTTGTTCTAAAAATTTGTATAATCTCTATAGTGATACAAATACATGCAAGTACTCAATTAAAAATAATATAAAAATGAATCGCTGAATGTGTTGCTAAGCGCATATCTCTAGAACGGCTGGTCCGATTCGGCTCAAATTTGTTTTAAGATGTTTGTAATTGTCAGGAGAAAATTTTAGGAAAATCCACCGGAAAAGTAGGAAATCTGGATGTAAAAAATACAACAGTGGCGCAATAATGTATTTATTGATTGCTATTGGTTAATCGGGCATGTTTGTTGATTTGTATTAATATATATAAATATATATAAAAATGAATGTTTAGACCTCTGGGAAGATGCCAGGCTAATTTAAAAATGGTTAAATTTGGTTTTTTTTATTCATCAGATTTTAGTACGGTTAGGTTAGGTTAGAATTTTGTACTAATAAACTATGATATTATTATTACCGATATAGGTATTATTATAATGTTTATGTAGAAGTCAAAATTATGATGATAACAATACTAAACATACCAGCCACAGTAATAAAAGTACATTGCTTTATAGTATATTCATAATATATATTATCTTTATATATAATATAATTCTACTGTACGTGTGTTGTGATTGAACTCCTCCTAAACGGTTGGACCGATTTGAATGAATTATTTTGAATGCGTTTGGGTGACGCCCCAGATTTTTTGGATTCATAAATCATCCCCCTAGGTCCAACCAGGTGATGTGCTCTAACGGTGGAAATTTTTGTTTATAAATAGTTGCCATGGGTTTTAAAACTATTATAATAATACTTATTAGAATTTGTATTCCAGGCAACAGAAAAATTAAGATAAATTTTGAACACCATACACCGAATATTAAATAACGAATTGAACAAAGTTTGAGTTATATAGAGTTGGTACATTTAACGGGAAACAAAGTGCACGGGATCAGCTATAAATATATATTATATTTAAGTAAACCAAACATTACGACTTATTAACTTTTAATGTGGATGTACAACCACTAATATACACTATAATTTTCATTTTTACGAGATTGAAGTAATTTTGTCAAACAACCTAAAAATCTCAACAAAAAAATTATATATGATGTAGTGTTTAATTTTACAAACTAAAGATTTTTCTATAACAACTACTTTGGTGTATTTATTTTTGTTTTATTATGTAAAACTATCGGCTATTGTAACTACAAGAAATAATAATTTCAATATAATAATAATTCAAGTAAATTGATAGTAAAATAAAATTATGTTTTATTAATGAAATTTGGTTGGTCACTAGTGATTACTCAATAACATGGTATGCCAAATACTTTATCATTGCTAAATATATATTAATCATGATAAACTGTTTTTAGTTGTATTAAATATAAATAAATGTATAAAAAAGTTCATATATTTTTGTGTTGTCAAGTATTTGAGTAGAAGTGTTATAAAAAAGTATTCAAATACTTTTTTTGTATCAAATACTATTTTAAATACAACTTTGAAATATTGAATAGATTATTTTAAATATAATTATTCTGTTTTCAATAAAAATGTAATCTGCTTTTATGAACTAAATACAAAAATATTGCATTAATTACCCACACAGGATAAATGATTATCATTTATTGATCTATAACTGTTGTTTAATTAGATAGTCAACAACATATAAAAATAATAAGAAACTAGAAAAAGTCTATTTATATGTAGATGTGTTATTTGAAACTACTAACACAGACAAATATCCACTTATATTTTTAATTATCCTCACAAGTACAGAACAAATAAATATGCCTGGAGTAATTAATTTCCCCGTGTGATTTATAATATTTTTATTATATCAATAGCATTATTTATACTTTAGTTTTATTATTATTTCAACTACTCATATGATGGATAACTTTTATAAATTTATAAAAGTAATTAATTAAATAATTTTCAAAAATATTTTTTAAAAGTACTTCAAAATCAGATGATCAAATAAATATCAACTTAATCAAAATTTTTCCAATATATTTTTTAAATTTGTTATTATATTTTTATAAATTATTTTTAGGACATACTTAGGTGCCGTGTTTTAACTTCTGGTATATTTGAAACACGATTTCAAGTTGAAAAAGTTAATTTTCAGTAAGTATACAATTTAGAACTATTAAAGAATTCCAGCATATTAATAGTTACTTATAAAATGTATTATTTTTTTTTCAGTATGTTTGATGTGGGAGGCCAAAGAGATGAAAGGCGGAAGTGGATACAGTGTTTTAATGATGTCACTGCCATCATATTTGTGACTGCTTGTAGTAGTTACAATATGGTTCTTAGGGAAGATCCCACTCAAAATCGACTCCGTGAGTCATTAGACTTGTTCAGAAGCATATGGAACAACAGGTATTTAGTTTTTTATTTGTATTTTATTACCATTGAGTTATATATTTTATTTTATTTTTTAAAAGATGGTTGAGAACGATATCAGTAATATTGTTTCTGAATAAACAAGACTTACTAGCAGAAAAAATCAAGGCTGGTAAATCTCGGCTAGAAGATTATTTTGCCGAATTCACCCGTTACCAAACGCCAATGGATGCTACTCCTGATCCAGGAGAAGATCCTCCAGTTATTCGCGCCAAATATTTCATCCGAGATGAGTTCCTTGTATGTAATTTATATAAATAATATTGTTGATTTTTATGTTTGAACCATATTTATAATAATATGGTTTTTTTTAAATGATTTATAGCGCATCAGTACTGCCAGTGGCGAGGGTAAACATTACTGTTATCCACATTTCACCTGCGCTGTTGACACTGAGAACATCAGACGTGTGTTCAATGACTGTCGCGACATCATACAGAGGATGCACCTGCGCCAGTACGAGTTGCTATGATCTCTCCCTTACCCACTCACATATACATACACAGGTCTCTTAATTATTCTGCAGCAATTTTGAGTAAGTAATTCAACTGTTTTAAGATACCATTTATTTGGGTTCTCAAACATCACTTTATTGAACATAATATTCATTATTATTATTATTTTTTTTTTTATTATTAATAAATTCATGTTTGAATAATTGGATACCAACCAGTTTTTTTTATTAGGTACCAAATTTTATTAATTTAACAATATATTTATTATGTTTAATTACTATGATGAATACAGTTAATTTATATAGTTATAAATTATGATTTTAAAGTAAATGATTACTGCTCTGTACAAATACTTATTCATAGTTTATATGGAAATTTTGATTTTTAAAATCATTATTTGTAGTAATATAAATTAATTTTCTCTTTGGTCAACAAATTTCTTATACATCGATATTTTTTGTCAGTATTAATTGTTCCGAGTTATAATTCACTTTTTATTTTTTATGAAAAAGTAAATTTTTAAATCCTCAAAATATGTATATCCTATGTATTTTATTTTTATTGTTTTTTTTTCATTTTTAGTTAAACTATTCGCATCTTTAATTATATATAACATACCAAAGACTATTAGAAAATAAATTTATTATTGTTATATTTGTTAATAAATATCTCGTTTGATTTATTATTTCACGTCAATTATTAATGTGTTTTTATTTAATTTTATAATAGTTATACATATTTTTGCACTAAAAGTGCTAAGAATCAAATGGTTATATTCTCTAAATATCAATCTAAATATTCTTTAATTGAAAAATAAGACTTCATATAACTAAATACGAAAAAAAGACAAATAAAATAAAACAATTTTTGAAAATAAATTAAAATAATAATACATTTTTTATCTTTATATAATTAATTACAACAGGTTAATTTAATTCAATGTTCAAAGTTCCTCCAAGAGGATGAATTCTTAATTCTGTGAATCATATCTTTTTTTTTCATACACATCATCATCGCATGCGCCTATTTTTTAATATTTACGAACAAATTGTGAAATAAAAATTGAAAATGGATAATAAAACATAATTTAATGTAAGAAAATAATACTATTAGCCTTGTGAAGAAAAAAAAAACAACTATGTATGAATTTAAACAGATAACATTTTTAAAATTGAAATAACATAGAGGTATATTATTATAAAATAAAATGTAACAATTTTATGTATACAAAAACAACATATTATTATGTTTTTAAATAATTTACTACATATTATATTGTATTAGTTACTATATACTTGTGTTTTTTGATAGCAATATACAATAATATAAAAATGTATATCACGGATTATATTATGTTTATAATTTTTAGTATATCTACGAAGACTAGAATAAGAAGACCAAATACAGAAGGCCACCCACTTGGAAAATTACCCAAAAAGAGTCAAACTAATAAACAACCAGAAGCTATGCTGCGGTCAATTTGTTGCTACTTTAACCAGGGTAGTATAAGAAGTATTTTGGAAATTATATACAATATTCTGAACAATTATTCTTTATAAATTGTATAGTTTGTCAAATTATGCATTCAATTTATCAATTTGTTATAATATAACCATATCATATAAATCTTAGCTGGAATCTGAATATCTGATAAACTAGATTTAAAGATCACATAACGATATTATAATTTAAAAAATATACTGACTGTTCCCTATATAGATAACAGTTTGTTAAATTTAACTTTCTACACATTTATAATACAATTTATATGAATTCTACATGTATACATATTATGCAAGAATGCATAATTTCACAAGTTTTAAATTTATAATGGATCATTGTTCAATATATTGCATAGTATTGCGTTATATGTTCCAAAACCCAAATGATTCCTATACTACATGTGTTAAAGTAGAAACTGATGTGGCTTCAGTGAAATTGCGCTATAAAAACAGTGTTAATTTGCCTTTCAAGATGTTTTCACTTTTTTATTAAGTGGTGTTTGGTTTCTATGTTCTAGTCTTCACGAATGTATCCTATAAATATTTTCTGGAACAAAAAATAAACCACGATATAAATCCCAACTGAATGGTGCAAATTATTACAGAAAATGTATATAATAAAACAATTGATAAATTAAATATTAATTTAAATTTTATATAATATATTAATAATAATTTAAAAAAGAAAAAAAAACTCATATATTCCTAAAACAATAAGTATATTACAAATAATTATAGAATAAGTAAACTAATAAATGTAATTAAATTGTAATATTAATTCATAGAATGTAACAAAATATTTTTTAATCTATAAATTAATAACCAGATTACCAAAGAATGTCAATTTTTTTTTTAATTTTTCAGAGGGACAGAATAAGTTCATGCTAATTCTCAATTTGAAACCTTTCATATTACACATACCTAAAGAAAGATCAATAATAATAATAAACTAAGTTATTGTAAATTTTAATTTTTTATCAAATCACTTAACCAGATTCTAGGTCTTGCTAACCTACTAAATTACATATCTTTTTTTTCAAATCAGACATTTCCATAATTTTTTAGTGTATAATAAACATATACACATTATACATGTTTAGTTTATAATTAATTTCATACTTTATACTACAAAATCATTTAATTGTGACAATTTTTCTTTCATTAATTGGTAAAATTCCAGTTTTAAATTAAATGTGTATTTAAAAATCATTCATTTTTATTGAATTTAATTAACTATTATTCTAAATAATTGTAATTTGTGATTTGTAATTGTACATTAATTAATATTTAAACTTTGATCTTCATTTTTTTGGAGAATCATATAAAATATATTTAAACAAATAAATCATATAATCTAACAAAAAAGCAATAATGTTATTATGTACATTATAAATATAAAAATATATAAACTATAAATTCTTTTGTTTTTAAATTTTAAGAATTGGTTGACACACTGAGATGAATAAACTAGTTCAAATATATTATTAAAATATTAATGATTGATTTTTAATCAAGTTTATTATAAATTCACTACAAACATTTAAATTTAATGTGATTTGTTTTATTATAATTTAATACAACGACTGATTATTTTAATTTAAAACTTATAAATGCATACTGACATTTTCCCTAGTATTTTATTAATAAAATAACTTGGTTAAATTATTTTAAAAAAAAAAATGTATTAAATGTATTAATTCTTTTTAAATTATTCCCGCTGAAAGACTCTTTTCATTTACATTTATTTTTTGTTCATGTCTGAATGTCTTGTATTTTATTATCAATGTAAGTTATTAATACAATTGGAACTGTTTGCAACCAACCTTATTTAACAATTTTATTTTTCAATTTAATGATGTAATTATTTTTATCTAGTTCCTTCAAATATGAGTTAAAATTTTGTATTATTAAAATCTATCATAAATAAGGAAAGATACAATTCATAAAATATAAAACTTAGTTTTTGGAAATTAATTCATATTTTTTCTTAATTCGATTTTCAGAATCACAGGTTATCAAATCCAAAATCATTTCAACAAACCTAAACATTTCAGTAGTATGTAATTAAGATTGATTCCTTGTGGTGAGCGTTCTTTTACAAGCAGCCAAATAAGGTTTTTGCATAAAGAATACATATCTAGATATTAGGACCTTTGAAGATGTATAGGTACCTATGTTTGCCTAGTCACAATTTTAGATAATTTATTAGCAGAAGTAGTTAAAAAAAATTAACAATTAAATTAAATCCTATACAATTATAAAACGTTTAATTTAATATTTGTTTCATTATGTTGTTCAATGTCTAGTACAATGGATATATTCACCAATAATTACATTTGTTTTTTTTTTTTTGCTTTTAAAATTGGTGATACATTTTCTAACATATAGTAATATAGTATGTAAAATTACATTGTCAATGGTTATATTATTGTTAACTATTATTTACCAGGTACAATAATGTCCTAACCTAATGATTATATTATTTGTATTAATAATGGATACCTAGTTCAAGCCTGTTTACTACAGTTGAATGTCCAAATTCAATGATGTAAATAATTGTATGCATTAATATAACTTTTTTTAACTATATAATATTTGCAACGTTCCATTACAAAAAAAAAAAAAAATCGCACAATTGAAAGTATATATTTATCATTTAAATATATATAAATTAATTTTTAATATTACCGTTATGAATGTTATACCAGTAAATCCAATGGTAAAATTTCCAAATCTTATGTAATTACGTGTATAGACAAATATAACTAATTATTATATTATGTTTGTAACTTACTAGTTTCTTTAAATTATGTATTATTTGTTTCTTGTTATAAGTCTTATTTATAAGTTATTATATATTTTTTTGCTCTGGGATAATATATGCATTTTTAAAAGAACAACAATTTGTTAACATAACAGAAAAGCATTATTAAAAATTGGAACATAAGTTTCCTGTGCTTATAATCAATATTAATTGAGAAACATGAACTTATACCAATATTTTGTTTATATTTATTTATTTACATTTAATTTTCTTTTTGTTTGGTGCTGCTTGCTTATACTTCCTTCATCTCTCCATCCTCCGTTATTATCAATTCTTGTAAACTAAAAAAAAAAACATGTACAATTATTAAATCTAGGTTTTGATTTTTAATTTTCATAAGTTAACCAGTGTTTTTTTTTCTTCAGAGGGTGATATTAAAACTAGGACTTTTTTAAAATGTTGTTTATTTACATTATTATTATTATTATTATTATTATTATTTTTTTTTTTTGTACATAGATTTAGTGTGAGGGTCTGCCAATATGTAACATCATCGTGCGAGAGTCAGTTGAAACCATTATTGTAAAATTAGTCGTTCTTTTCATTATGTTATATTATGTGTGTATCTTTATGTATGTATGTATATATGTATGTATGTATGAATATATATATATATATATATAATATAAAATAATATGCATAATAGTAATATATAACCTAAAAAAAAATGTAATACATTATAATTAAATAT